TACGTATAACTACGTACCTACCGTACGTACGTACTACTTACTACTACTACTACTACTACTACTACCTACCTACTACTACTAACTACTACACGTACGTCTCTCTCTCTCTCTCTCTCTCTCTCTCTCTCTCTCTCTCTCTCTCTCTCTCTCTCTCCCCCATTGTGAGTGGCACACCCACAACTAGTATCTTCCTTCATCTCTATGAGATCTTTGCTCAAGTTAAGCTAAGAGAAGAACTCCATTGAAGGTCTTACACTAATTCATTAATGGTGATCCAAAGCTCAAATTCAAGCCATGGATGATCAAGTCTTCAAGCCTTGAATAATTGAGTAAGATCTTTTCTATTTTCATTGATCCATTTAGTTTCTCCTTGCTGCAAATTCTCAATTACAACAATATCTCTCCATCCTTAGATGATTAGATCTTTGATCCTTTGAGTCTGTATTGATCTCACTTGATTCATATAGTTAAAGGCTTCACCCATGCACATTTTGACATAATTTCCATGAGTTTTCTTCCTTGAATTTCGGAGTAATTTTGGCTGACATTTCTTTAAGTTTTTTGTGATCATATAAGTCACTTAGATCTTTTTCTTGATCTCTTGAATTGTTGATTTATGAGAGGAGACTATGCCAAAATTTTGAGAGACGAATTGTGAACTTAATTGAACCGATTTTGTATTTTAAGAGCCCGGTTTTCTCCCACGATTTTTCTACTTGAATTGATCTTTAGAACTCTGCAAATCCTTAGTGTGTATCAGCAAATTCTTGGCTTCCCATTTGTTAAATGAAGAATTGGCCCGATTTTGTGGTATGCCATCGCATGTCACCCAATGGCACATAGCTAAGACCCAATGCCATAAACCGGGCACCGAGAGCTCCAATTGGCTTCCTATGGTCATGATGCATTGCACACTTGAGCATATGTATGTTGATGTGATGGAGATCATATTGCGATGAGTTTCATGAGTTTATTGATGTATAAATTTGCCTTGTAAGTTTGAGCAGTACTGAATTTTCAAATACACATTATACATGTGTAGTTTGATGATCTCCTTTTGTGGCTTGTTTTGTTCATGTGTAAGGGACCCTAATTGAGTTGTATCCTCTCATTTGAGTGTATTTAGAAGTCAATAGCTCACTGTAGTTATAGTGACCTTGCTGTAATTTGATTTTGCAAGTTGTAATATCGAGTGTATTGAAAGTATTTAAATTGTATTGGCTTGTTTTTTGTTTACATTGTCATCCAAGTCGAGAGAATTGGTTTCAATACACTCACAATTTTTACCATGGTGCATTTACAATTAGATTTACTCATCAATTGAAAGAACATACCATTGTTAAGATGCATACAAATATAAAAGTAAATTGCATGAACGTCTGCATCTAGTTACCTTTTCTTATCAAGACAGTAAATAGCATGAAGATACAAAAGCAAAATAAACAACTCACTTCCTAGGCAGGAAAGATGAGAATATGAATTGATAAGATGTTTCAAAACGAATCAATCATCAAAACTAAACAACTCATAAAGATTATATAATAAGCAATGAGCATCTGAAACAAAACATGAGTGGTTGGAAACACCTGGGAACCCAAATCGTTTTAGGAACCGAAATCACGGAATACAGCCGGCTGGAGATTCTTGTCTTAGGAATCGTTGTCCATACAATAGGAATCACTAGGAACGAGATTCCTAGTTTTTGAGAATCATGTTTCGACCGAAAATAGATTCAAGTTTCATCCACATATGGAATCGAGATTCTGTCCTCCTTGGAATCGAGATTCCCATCCGCCTAGAACCGACACTCCAAGAGTCAAGATTCATTAATATGCGGAATTGAGTTTCTGACATCTATGGATTTGAGTTTCTGACATATGTGGAACAAAGATATGTTGTTGTTTCGAATAGTGAATCTAACATATGTGGAATCAAGTTTCTGAAGTATATGGATCGGAGATCCATGTTAGTTTAAGATCGAGATTTACAATAATATGGACTGTGGAATGCGTTTGACAACCCTATCAGGAATCAAGATTTCATTTTTATGGAGAAGGAAGCGACATGCACATCTCGAACCTCAACAACTTTAGAACCTATATTGGATGCCTCTTATTAGAAGGTTTCCCAAATTTTATGTGTTTACTATTGAACTTACGGTCATTACATACAAAAGACAAGTATTTCTAAATAGTTATTTTGACTTCATTATTACAAAGACAAAACAGGATCATGTTTGTGTCATGGTTTTCTTTTTAATTGTATGTCTTGTATTTACCAGTTATATTTTAAATTTAAAGTAAAGGGCATCTAGGGTGGCACAAATAAAATAATGAAACCCTGCAACCACTAGAAGCATTTGAAGGACGATTTCTATTCAAATTGACGTGGAAACAAAGATTTAATCCTCATTGGAATCTAGATTTGATATATTTGGGAATGTCTACCCACAATTAATAGGTTCAAGTTTCTAAAGATGTGTTGGATCAAGATTCCGAAACTAAGGAATCGCGTTTCCTTGGTTCCGATAAATGGTTTCTCAAGATGTGTTGAATCGAGATTCCGAAATTAAGGAATCAAGTTTCCTTAGTTCCGAAAAATAGTTTTTAGAGATGTGTCGAATCGAGATTCCAAAATTAAGGAATCGAGTTTCCTTGGTTCCGAAAAACAGTTTCTATGGAGTTAATGAAAATGCAGAATAGGGATTCAGAACAGCAAACGCGAGGTCGGTGGAGACAGTCCGGTAATTATGATGAGAACTTCTTTAAATAATTATCTACTTTCCTTGAAAGACGAATACATAATTCAGCTAAGAAATGGCACCTTGTATGATGAGTACAGAAGAATCACTCATAAGCAATCAGCATCTCAAACAAAACATGAGTGCAGAATGAAAACTCCTTTAAATAATTTTCTACTTTCCTTGAAAGATGAATACATAAGTAAGATAAGAAATGGTACCTTGTATGATGAGTACAGAAGAATCACCGCAAAAAGTATGTTTACTGCCTCGAACCTCTAAAAATGAAGTACAAATAAGATGCAATAGCCATCACATCTATGTATATAACAACAAGTAAAATAATATCAACGGGACAAAGTGATATAAACAAACCTGGAGGGTGGCAGTCCCCAGCAATATCATTGATGCTCGAAAGAAAATTGCACCAGCAATACCGTATGAAAGAACCCGACTCTAATTTCAAGATTAAAAATTAAATCACGAGCATAGGAATAATTAAACAATATTGAGCTGTGTTGGAACAAAATCAGTAAGACTGTGATACAAGCTGAACCTCAAAATTAAGTTACAACAAATCACAATAGCCTAACCAGCACCAGTAACAAAACTAAATAGTCGGACACAAAGTTCCATACCTGATAAGCAACTGGCACCTTAAAGTACCTAAAAATCAGTACAAAGACAAATAGATTGTCCACAGACAAACTCTGCTCCAAAATGTACCTGAAATTCCGAATAGCATGTCAAGCACAATAAATTTACAAAGCCTTGGGTTGAAGGAAAAAAATTCCATGAAATGCAATAGCTCCAGCGAAATAATAGAGATGAGTAAACATATATTTCAAAATTAAGATGTTGGATAAACAAAAGAAAAGTAGATTAGAATTACAGGAAAGGAATACATAATTCACAAATCCTGCACTTTCAATGTTTAAGGAAGCAAATTCCAAATGATCACAATCCATCCAAAATTCTTTATTATCCCTCTATTGTGGAACTCAAGCTCAAAAAAAAATAAAAAGATCTCAAAACAGTTGCAGAAGGACTAAAAAGAATTCCAATAGATGAACACGATGTTTGACTATGTATATTAGTCCATATGACTTCAAACTCAATTAATCTCAACAAACTTTTGAACAACAATAGAAATAATAAGGGCACTCCACTTAACCCAGAAACCATGATCTACTACTATTTTTTTATCCTTCCCAACAAAGACCCATGAACCACAGTCTCATTTCAGGGGCCCATGATTGGCTTGTTAAAGTTGGACAATAAATAGTAGGATCATGATCTTGGAATGTGGATTTCACTTCTCCCCCCCCCCTTTAAGAGCAAGTCTATCACTTGTCACCACAGTGTAAAAAAAGCTCTCTAAAGCACATGTACACGTGTCCCTCTGTAGGGCAACTTCCCAGTAACGCAGCTGTCATGTGTACATGCCATGCGTAAGTTTTTTGAGGTTGTGGCATTTGCTCTCATAGGCCTACAACCGTACACAAGGACCACACAGTTCTCCTGGCATACAAACATCATCCTGGGCATCTCTCCGACTTCAACAAGGGATGATCCACTGTAAACCCTTCTCAGTAGTGCCACATGCCCAGGGGTTAGGGTTTTGGACATGACCAAAGCCCTAAGAAGCTCAACCCTTGGTCAATCAACACACACACTCCCACTGAAGTGCATATTCAACTGTAACATATCATATTTACAAGATCTCTAGGCCTTTAAAGGCCACAAAACCCAACAAACTCTAGGATCTTGGTGCACTGGGACCAAAAGTCATGGAACATCGATTAAGTCATGAGAAGGATTTATATCATAAGAAGTATCGAGAGGCTCGAGGGTTACCTCTTAGTCAAGGTCGGTTGTTATGTTTGTGCCACATGATTGAGTGAGGGGTCAGGGCAATACGATTTACGTATGATCTTGATGACAAAAAGCTTTGCATAGGAAGGTCAGAGCCAATAGAGGACATTAGCCTAAATCCCTAACTCCTAAAACCTTTTCGTAGCATGTGCATATACAGTTGCAATACATGGGAAGCCGCTCTTCCATGAATCTGTTGATTAGATATATGCACATGTGCCAAGAGAGGAACCTTATGTGGGTACGTCCTCTTGGGGGTGCAGCTAAAATCCACTCATAGTTGGGGATTCAGGGTCAAACATTGGTTTGACTTTGATGGGCTGAAATCCTGAACCCCCGATTATATATTGTGGGTCAAGAGTCTGTTGGGTCATACCGAGATGGTGGCTTTGAATTCCAAGTCTAGCTGAGTGGAGTGCTCCGTTTTATAATTCAACTCCAAGGATCTTGATTTCCCTTGTAAATGTTTTTAATAAATGTCAAAATGATTTATTTTGATGGAAAATCATTAAAATGATTTTTATGGATTTATGGGAATTGTTTTGGATTTTTCTGGGCAAGAAAATTCGTTTTCTAAATAGTTTGTAAGTAATGATAAAAAAGGACATTCCTCGGGACCCACACGTGACACCCAAATAGCCAATGGGTGTCCACGTGTTGTCTTGGGCAGTCCCACGTCACCCCACATGGAGGATGACGTGGGGGTGATGTCAACCCCTCAAGGGTCTCCCATGTGTGGGGGAGAAGGCCCCCTACCCGTTTTTCATTAATTAAAAAAAGTAGAAAATACAGATCACATTTTAACAGCCCTGCTGTAGGGAAATTGTGCCAAATCATGAAGTAAAGACAAATAAAATTTGGTGGTCTAGAATGCCAAACTGTAGCATCAGAGAGAGATACTCCCTCCTTGGCAAGTGTATCTACTACTATGTTGGCTTCACAATAGATGTGGTAAATGCTCCACTTGTGATTAGAAATTCTGTGTCGACAATTGGCTGCTACTGTGGAGTGTCCATGGAGCTCTGCAACGCCCCTGAATAATGTTTACTAGTAATGACGAATCGCTTTCAATTTGGAGTGGAAAACATTCAAGTTCAATAGCCGAATCCATGCCCACCTTCAAAGCAAAACAGGCTGCATTATTGTTTGATGCAATGTCAAAGTGGGTAGCAAAAGCAGCAATAAAGACTCCATCGTTGTCTCTAATGACCCCACCACCACCTGCCATACCCGGGTTTTAGAAAGAAGCTCATCAACATTAAGCTTGAAAAGTTGGTGGTGAGGGAAAGACCAGGCAACCGGGGTAGAGGTTTTGGTCTTCTGATGGTGCCAAGCGATTTGTAGGTTTTCGATTATTGCTTTTTCCGATACATAGAAGTCCCAAGCCTTCGGCATCTGCTAAATCACGAACATGATGAATGATCTTTCTCAACAAATTTTCCCTTCTTGAAACCTTCTTCTGGAAAATTTTGCGTTTGTGTTGTTCCCATAAAACCCAAACTGTAGTGAAGAAAAGGGATAGCCAAATGCTAAGAAGCCTATCTGATTTGAATATGAAGCCAATCCAACTTCTTAACATTACTGTAAAGGATGTGCCAGGAATAAGACGCTTACCATACCTCCATGCAATCGATTTCAATAAATCTTGTACTCGCATTGTAGCAACAGATTCCAAATATTGTCATCACCATTGTTTCAAAAGGGACATACAGAATCCACGGAGATCGCGCTATTTAAGAAGGAATGAGGTCAGAAGTTGTGATGAAGTGCCAGCCAAGAAAACTACTTAGCTCTGGAATGGCATTTTGAAGACCATATCGCTATGAAAATAGGCTGAGAGGTCCCCTTTGGTCGAATGAATTCCCATGCTGCTTTAACTGAGAACAAACCATTGGAAGCAGGAATCCATAGTAGAAAATCTCCCTATGGCTTCAAAGGGACAGTGAAACCCTCCACCTCCATCCATATTCTAATTAGATGACTAGAAGTGGGGGTAAGAAAGTTCCAAGTCTGAGGAGAGCCTTGTAAATAATATGACACCTTAGATTTAGCGAGTAAACCAAGGTCCTTGCGGACATTCACACCATATGACTCTCAAATAGACTTTCAGATAACAATGGGTCTGCCCAGAAATCCACTGACTGCCCATCTCAATAACCCATCTGACATTGTCCCTCAAGTTAGCTATGCCCTACAGAAGCCCCTTCCAAGCCTAGGAGCAGCTCCTTTTCTTAACCCCCCATATAAAAGAGTCCTTGAAAATATTTGTGCTTGAAGAATCGTGCTAGTACAGAAGATGGGTTAGATAAAATCCTCAATGCCAATTTCATCATGCAGACAGTATCGAAATCGGCAGTATTTATATCCTCAGACGCCCCTCCTCCAAAGTTAGACAGTTTTCCATTTTACAAGATGAATATTTTTCTTTTCAATTATGCATGCCCATAAGAAGTTCTGCAGTGATTTTTCCATCATATTGCATGTACAGCCTGGGCAGGATGAAAGAAAGAATCCAAAAAATGCTTGATGAGACTTTAACAATTGCAGCCTGAGTGAGAAAGAGATAGGGCTTGCCATGTCCCTATCTTGCCAAAAAATTTCCCAACCAATCTATGGCAATGAGAATGCTTTAAATCACCACGAAACAAAGGAAGATACAGATATCTTACTGGTAAAGACCCTTCAACAAAACCAAGCACCTTTAGAATCATATGCCTGATACCATGTGCAACATCAAAGACAAAAGCTTTGCTTTTGGTAATATTCAATTTCTGGCCAGTGGTTAATTTGAAATCTAAGAGCATAGATTTCATAACAGTAGCAATAGTACTAGTGGCATCACTAAATATTAGTGCATCATCTGCACAAAAAAGGTGAGAGATCCCATAATCACAACTTGAGGGGAAGGCCCTGGGAAGCACACCCTGCATCACTGCTTCATCCAACTGTCTGCTAAGGAAATCAATAACTAACAAGAATAGAAAAGGCAATAGAGGGTCCCCTTGTCGTAGGCCCCTTCTCCCTCGAAAGTATCCTTTGGGAGAACCATTGCACAATATTGAGAAAGGTGGTGTGAAAAAACAAAGCCAAATTCAAGAGATGAAAAGCTCTGAAAAACCCAACACTTGCATCCTTGCAAGGATGAAACCCCAAGACACCCATAGGCACTACTCAAATCAAGTTGTAAGCATAGTTTGGCCCTATTGGAATATTTATGACAGAGAAATAAGCTCATTTTCCGTCAATATGTTATCCGTGATAAGTTTCCCTTTTAAAAACGCTGCTTGTCAAGGATCAATAAGACTTCCGAACCCGCCTCAATAATTCTGCTTATAATCTCATACAAAGCATTGCATAAGTCAATGAGCCTAAAATCTTTCATAACACTTGGAGAGCTCACCTTAGGAATGAGACATATAAAAGGAGAATTGATTTGTTTGCCTATCCGGAAAAATCCTTCAGGGCCATTAAAGAGATCATGTTTTATTACATCCTAGCCGAATATGTAGAACTTAGCAGACAACCCATCTGGACCCGGGGCACTCTAACTCTTCATGTACCAAATTCATCCCTTTATCTCTTCCAACAAGACTAGCTTAATTACTTATTTGAGCAAGTAAAATACGGGGTCGAAATTGATTTGCCAAATTCAAGTCAACAATGCTTTCTTGAGCAAGCAAATTCTCGAAATATCCAATCATATGCTTCTCAATATCAGTCTCAAAATAGCAAGATAAACCCCATTTTGATTCTTGAGAAACATAATTCTATCATTTCTTCCTCTAATAATAGTTGAAAGATGAAAAAATTGTGTTAAAATCACAATCTCTCAACCACATCTGTCACGATTTTTGTCTCCATATACCCTCCTCATGAATCAATAACTACTGCAGTTGTTTGGTACATTCCTTCTCTTCATGAATGCTGAAAAGTTGCCGGTGAACTTCTGAAATAAACTACCCCACATAGTTAACTAGGCATCTACGAGATGAGTTAACTAGGCATCCACATAGTGATTCAAAAAGCGGGCCGCCCAACGCCTACGCGGTCCAGAAGGCCTAGGTGCATTACCTAGGCCTAAGCGGCCAAACTAAGCGAGCGGTCCCAGGGCGGCCGCCTAGGCGGTACGCACTCGCCTAAGCCAACACCCAACCTTGATAGGCCGCTTAGGGCCTACGCCCTGCCCAGGTGTGGAATGGATTTTTTTTAGATATTTTTTAGGTTTTTTTGAAAAAACAATGTTTTTAAAGGTGGGTTTTAGGTCCCATTTGAAACCTAAACCCACATGAATCCATTTTAGAGAGAGAGAAACCTCAAAAAAACTAGATTTTGTGATTTTCATCGGATCAAAGTGTTTCTCAAAGTCACGGGAAATGGATCCAAACATCAACCATCAAGATTAGATTTAGTTTTAAAGTTTTTTTAATCCTATTAGAGGGTGTTTTAAAATATTTTAGCACCAGAAAACATCTCAGAGGTAGAAGTTTGGAGTTCAAGAAATCAAAGTGCAAAACTTTATTTTTTTTATTTCTTGTATTATTTTGAGATATCTTCTTCAGGATCTAGTCGAAGTGGTGATCAAGGTTGGAAATATGGATATAACTCGAATCTGAATGACAAAAATTACAAAGGATACAATTATTGTGAAAAAGATACAAAATGGGGCATAAACCGGTCTAAGAAACATCTTGCCGGTATTAAGGGGAATTTGCCCCCTGTAAAAATGTTCCTGAAGCTATCAGAGAGGAGATTAACCAATATATGAGTTCAGTAAAACACAAACAGGAACAAAATCCTTGTCATTTGGATAGGTCTATTTCTGGTTCTACTAGAAGAAGTGATCTGGGTTGGAAGTATGGTCATAACCCTAAACCACACGATAAAAATTGTATAAGGTGTAATTTTTGTGAAAAAGAAACCAATGTGGGTATTAACCGATTTAAGAAACACCTTCCTGGTATTAAAGGGAATGTTGCTTCTTGTAAAAAGGTGCCTGAAGCTATTCGGGATTAGATTAGACAATATTTGAATTTAGTTGAACTAGAAAAAGATGAAAATGAGCTTTGTTCTATAGAAATATCTTCTCCAAGTTCTTCTAGAAGCACTGATCCGGGTTGGAACTATGGTCATAACCCGAATCCGAATGACAAAAATCATATTAAATATAATTATTGTGGAAATGATACTAATGGGGGTATTTACTGGTTCAAAAAACAGCTTGTCGGTAACAAGAGGGATGTTATCCCGTGTAAAAATGTTCCCGAGGCTATCAGGGAGGAGATTATACAATATTTGAGTTCAGGGAAGCACCAAAAGATAGAAAAGAGTAGAGCAACCAAGACTCCTAAGGCCTCATCTGCACAGAGTAAGAGGGAGGTAGAAGAAGAGGAGGAAGTGGCAGATTCAAAAGAAACAGAGAAGGACGAGCATAATGTTGAAAGAGAGATGACTATGATGATGATGGCCTTGAATCTAATGCATATGATGAGGCTTCTCGAATCTAATGGATATGATGAGGCTTACCCTACTCCTTCTGATGATGACTGAAGAATGAAGAGTTGAAGACGCTTGACTCTTGGTGTTGACAAGTGACTATTGAGTCCTAGATTGTATATTTTCTGAATTTCTGTATATTTTCTTTTTCTTATTTTTAGTTTCTAATTTCTACTATCTAACTCTTGTGTGTATCAATGTATGCTTGTATGGTTTTAGCATTGTATGAAAATATGGATTATGGACTGTCAAAACTCTCCTCATTCATGGAAATATCAAATATGAATTATGGATTATGTGCTATATAGTTATATTGTTATATTTAGTATATAGTTATGGATAAAATCATAAAAATTCTAACATTTTTCTTTCTACAAGGCCGTCCAGGTTTTGGGCGCCCGCCTAGGCGTTGGGCGACCTCAACCCCCATGGCCACCTACGTGTCGTCTAGCGCTTTTTGAAACACTGCATCTGCAAGATGAGGTACCGAGGTTTATGTTGTTTGTGGACGACATAGGTTTGATTGATGAGATTAAAGATGACATCAACGCAAAGTTAAAACTTTTGAGGGATCTAAAAATTTTAAATTAGCTAAATCTATCAAACTAAGAATATATGGAATACAAGTTTAGTAATAATAGAAGTAGAAATGAGGAATTAGTTAAGATTAATGGCCAAGAAGTACCTAAAATCGATTATTTTTTATAGTTGGGTAGATGATCCATGAGAATGGAAAAAATTAGGTCAGGAAACATATGTCCATAGGATGAGCATAGCTGAGATAAGGATGTTGTGATAGATGAGCGGCAAGACAGGAATAGATAAATTTCGAAATGAATACATACGAGAGATGTTAGGTGTGACTCCAAGAGGCGACAAGATGAGGTCATGAGGGAAAGTAGACTTAGGTGGGCTAGTCATGTGCAGCATAGACCTAAAACAACACTGGTTACGAAGTGCGATTTTGTTTAAGTGGCAGGCTCATAAAAGGCGAGCGGAAGGCCTAAAAGGACATGGATAGAAGTAGTGAGAACAAATATGGTGCTTTTTTATCTTACTGAGGATATGGCCCTTGATAGAGAATAATGGAGGAACAAGATCCATATAGCCGACCCCAATTAATTGGATAATGCTTGGATAATGATGATGAACAATATATATACATATATGAATATAAGGATGTCCAACCACACAACACATAGCTTTAGACAATGGATTGCAAATCCTCTCCCCCACTCATGCATAGCGACTATCTTCTTCTTTCTTCTCAAATAACATAAAAACCTCACTTTTACGAAAGACTAAAATACCCGAATAACACCTGATAATTACAAATACACTCATATGTCCTAGTAACATATAGTAGCAACTACACGTATTAGTACTTTGTGCTCCAATGTACATCCCCAACCCGTCAGAAATTGTCACAAAATAATTTAGGCAAGACAAATATATGAGTTATAATAGAGATGCATAAACTAATAAGGTTAATTGCCTAATGTGGCGTTATAGATTGGACCATCGAACACTATGCCGAAAGCATGAAAAGAAGTACAGTTCCCATGTTTTAAGAGGAAAAGACAACAAAGCAACACAGAGAAAAAAGAATGGAACAATGGATTCATGACAACAAAGGATGTATCTGAAAGAACGTGAATCGTAGCATACCCTGCAAAAAATTCAGATGCTTTTCCAATTCCATCCTTGAAACCTATAGCAACTCCAAAAGCAACAGCAGCACAAACCTGGCATGTGACCGATATATATTTATATATGTCAGACCAGCATGGACACGTGAGCTCAAAACATTCAAACGATGATAGATGAAATCACAATAGCCGAGAGCTAGAGCATCCTTGCAACTATTGAAGAAATTAACCATTATGAAATTGAAGACAGTCACTACTCACCCATAATGCAACTGTCCTTATCGATGATGGCGTATTTGGCTCATATTCTGGAGGAGATTCCTTCAGATTCTCTGAAGGAAATTGATGAAAGGAACTATCAACAATCTTTAGGTCCTCCTGTGATTGGCGTCTAATTTCTTTCTCTGTATTTTCTAAAGTTGCAACATAACATTAGAAATTCTTTCAGATAGACTCATAGGGACCTGAAAGATTCAAGAAAGTTCAAACAAAATTCAACAAATAATAAATTAAACATTCCAATTCTAGGCTATTATCGACAAAGTTACAGAAAATACAGAAGTATCAATCCCTTATTGCAATTGGAAGTAAGTCATGTCATGATAGTGAGTGGAAATAATTTACTACAACACGGGATTTCTGGGCAAGTTTCACATAAAATTCCATTATTGATAAAGGTTGAGGAAGACAAACTTGGCTACATTCTCAACCACATTCCAATGGCATCTTGACATTGTTAACATGTAAAATCACAAGACAATGCAATTCTCTCCCAAATTAGATCCTCCCCAAATTACTGACTGCTAGAAACTTCATGGTCACAAAAATTCCCATTTGGATTATGACCTGATAACTGAAAGAAGTGGCTATGTGGAACTCAAAGCATTAAATTCAAAAATTTTCTTTTATTCAATATATTTGAATTACACTTATATGAACTACTACTATATGTTGCTGTAAATTAAAATAATACCCTAGATACAACCTAGGATCTTTATTTCCACTGCCAAAAGAAATAGAAACTATCCAGGAGCTTTAAACAAACTTCCACTATAATTTTTTAGTACAATACATCTTCTTGAAAATTCATAAAAAATAAGAAATAATACTAAAAATTAATTAAAACTACAAGAAAAACTTATTGAAACCTAAAGTTACCGCCACAAGTCTAATTATACCCCACACCCGATTCCCTGATTGATGACGCTCTTTTACTCCTTTAGGGAAGCTTTGTAGGCAATACGTCTTTTTTTAGGGTTTTTGAGAGCTCAAAAATCAACTAGGGTTTATAAAAACCCTATGGTAGTAAAATAGGACTGAACTTGTGACTTGATCTCTCTCTAAGCAAGACTTCTCCTTTTTTTCTTTAAAATATAACAAGCCTCTCTTAGGGTTTAAAAGTCCCATCGTTTTCTCTCCTTTTTTTCTTTGATTGAAGTCACTCCTAAGATAGAAGAGAGGGTGGCGCGACTCTCTTTAAACCAAAAAGACGAGTCACATGTTTCTCACTTTGATAAAAAGGGAGAGAAAGATATGGTGTGATGGAGAGAGGGTGAGAGAAAAGTGGCGTGGAGGAGAAGAATATGCGCATGAGAGAGAGATATCTAGATGTAATGAGAGAGAGGGCTCAAATCTTGTTTAAATGGAAACAAGATCTATTTTCTATTTTGAATAAGATTCCAATCTAAGTATGCCTTAACCAATTTCCAATTTGACCTTTAAGATAATTAGAAAATCTGTGAGGTGAGAGATATAATCAAAGCCATCCATCCCAAAAATCAGCCATAATGATTTTGCGTGGAAAAATAGGAACCTCATCCCCTTATATTTTGACCCAAATTTAACTCCTATTTAAATGTGAAATATGATCAATCTTATCATAATCTAGATCTCCCATAATCAAGGTTAATCTATATTTTAAAACTCCCACTAGAATAAAAAACCAAATCTTATTTTAAAAAAATTTCCTGTCTTTTAATTAATTTAAAAGCTTGAACCAAGAAAATATGAGGTGTGCCCCCTTTTTCCTAGAAAAGTGGCGTGCCACTTTTTGTTTAAAACATGAGTCGTGGCCCACTAGAGGTGACACGTGGTCCCCATAAAAAAAAACACACACACATGTGGAGCTGGATCCTTGGTCCCACATGTTATTTCAAGTTCTAAAAATTTCAAAAATACCCTTTTGATAAATATTACAGCAGAAATAATATTTTAAAATTTTGAAAAATATTTAAAAATCATAAAAACATTTCTAAAACCGAAATAAAATATACTAAAAGTGAACTGGTACGAATGAGTCAAAAATAGCGACAATAAGGGCACTCCACTTGCCCCAAGAACCATGATCCACTACTATTTTCTTATCCAACCCAAAAAAGGCTCATGACCCGCAATCTCATTCAAAGGTTCATGATAGGCTGGTTAAAGTTAGACAATTAACACTGGGACCATGATCCTGGAATGTGGATTTCAGTTCCCTTTTTAAGAACAAGTCTACCACTTGTCACCACAGTGTAAAAGGGGATCTCTTTATTCACATGTACACATGTCCCTCTATAGGGCTGCTACCCAGTAATGTGCCTATCATGTGTACATGTTGCTCTCACAGGCCTATATCCGTACATAGGAGACCACACAGTTCTCCTGGCCTATAAACAACCTCCCTACGCATCTCTCCGACCTCAACAAGGGATGACCCACTATAAACCCTTCTCAGCAGTGCCACATGCCCAAGGGGAAGGGTGTTGAACATGACCATAAACCGTACAACCCTTAGTCAGTCAACACACACTCTCTCACTAAAGTGCATATTCCACTATAAAATATTATATTTACAAGCTCTTTAGGCCTTTCAAGGCCACAAAACCCAACAATAACCTTATATACCCTAGCTCTATTTACATTGCCTGCATATATCAATTAGTCAACATCCTGTTAAAGCAAAAAGGAAAAGGAATATTTTTATAACCTTAATTGGACTAACAAACAAGTATTCTTTTAACTTTTTATCAAGCAATGACTTGATATCTAGCACAATAATGTGAATCAACCCATAGTTACAGGGATCAAAAGCGGTGACAGATCCTAAATCAGGATCGGGACCACAGGATCAAGAGATAGACAAAGATATGTGGATAAGTATGGAGATCCGTTCAGCATGACTTAAAGGAATCGTGATTCCAATATGAAGGGAGCATGATTCAAACTTCTCCAGGAAATGAATGATAAAGTATATGGGATGAAGGTCTGCCTAGCTTAGAATTGAGGCTCCCAAGAGCGCTTAACAAGGGTACTCTAGCTCGAGAACGAAGTCTGTTAAATGATATGATTGATGTTTTTTCTGAATTCAAAAGCCAAATTATCATTAAATAGAAAGAATAATGTTTTCTAAAATATTTTTATTTTCATTGGAGTGTGATTTGTAAGTGAGAAGTGAAACTGAAAATTCAAAATGAGGATCCAAATTTCAGTCCTCATTGCATGAAAGAAGCTCTAGTGTTTGATGAAAATTAGTGTCATTGTTTTTCCTCGTTTTGGTCATTTCACTTACACGCAATTGGGCATGCAACTGATCAAACGCTCTTTAGATTCAAAGTGAGAAAAGGGTCTAAAAGAAAAGAAAGGGAAAAGGTCTCCATAATGATGAATATGATCAGCAAGAGGCAATTGAAGCCAAAGATAAATTGTATAAAGCTTAAAGAGCTTCCAGTAAGTGAAATGAAAAGGTTTTTGAGTTGAAAATGGTGAAGCTTTAGCTTTGCAGTTGCTCTCCTTCATCTATGGGTTCTATAACGTAATATGGCAGAGGCGTGTATGTTTTATTGTCTATTTTCATGACTTGTAAATTCAAAGTTCAAAGTTCAAACTTCAAGTTTCAAACCCTAGTTGCCATTATGGGCATTAGGACTATTTCTCAACTGGTTGATCTCTAACCAATAGCCAATTCTAAAAGAATTTAAAAATTTTAAAGAAATATACCTTTGTAGAGAGAGAGAAAGAGAGAGAGAGAGAGAGAGAGAGGGGTTATTGGCTAGGAGTCAAAGAAAGTATGGGTGGAGGAAGGGGGGTGATCAGTGCATGATACTCGAAATGTGTTGGTAATCTTTGGTACCAATGTAAAAGAAATGGTGGGGGCTTAATTTCACCTACTCATGGACCCATGACTTGGATGAGAGGGATATGGATCTCATTCACCAGGGATCTTAGATCCCCAGTTTTGTAGATCGAGATCCCTAAATTTAAAAACCGTTTGGAATCGAGGTCTCTCATCCCGGACCACAGGATCGAGCTTTTAAAGTTGGAGTGATCACTTCTTGGGTGATCCTGGTAAGTATGAACCAACCTACATGACCCTAATCAAACCCGCATTATAAAAGCCCCAACACCACACAAACTCCATAGTAGCCTACAGTCACATGCTTCTATAAAGTGGGACCCCATATGCAATTAGTTAAATCCTGAGATAATAGTTCCGCTGTCATATATACTATTATGGAATTACAGCTTAGAAGAAATACCGACACAAGTAATGTCAGCATATACATGCATTAGAGTACAACGGTAAACCAAATCAAGGAGAAGCCTTACCAATTACCAACTTGAGTCAGTTTTGGACCAGGTTGACTCCCATGCTGAGGCCAAATATTAAAACCTGTCTCTAAGACAGAATACTTCACTGCAAGGGAAAAACATGGTGTGCTATTCAGCTCTACCATTAGTGATTAAAGGCCTGCTTTGATAAGCCACTATATTGTATCTTAAGTGTGATATAGTGCATGCCAGACCACAAAAACCCACTCATGTGGGGTGGCACAAGGATAGGCCCCACATTACAAAATACTTTTGAAAATATGCAACTTTTTGTGTGTTGGGGCAGATAATGAAAACAGCTAATTCCAGCCAGAATGTAGCATGTGAAACCCAGATTGAGGGAAAACTATAAGGGAAGGCAAGCTGATCTTTGTGGTAGACAAACCTTATTACTCTTTTCTACCTCTCATTCCTTAAAATAAATTTAAGGGAAATCCAAAAATATATAGAACCACAATAATAACAATCATGTCCCATATGCAATGCATGGAACGGCATTCCAAGGGAGGGGGGAAGGCAAAGACAGTGAATGACATGAGTGATGCTTTTCGATAAGCGAGGCTTCCATATAAAATTATTTATTTTTAAAAATAGGTTAGATTTAGAGTAACAGAGAAAGTAAATTACAGATTCAAAATAAAAATAAAAATAAAAAAATTTTGAAATGGGAAATGACTATATAATAAAGGGAAACTAATTTTATGTTTTTATTCATGTTTGTACTCTAACACATGGCATCTACAGATGCACTCTGTAAAATGACTAAAATAATCTCCGTTGTATTTAAAATGACAAGATAGTCGCACTTTATTTACAATCTGAA